TTTAAGGGAACCTAAAGGACTCTGGGTTACACTCCTGTTTTTACAGCTTCTTTCTGCAGATTAAACTCTGACTGTTTTGCACGGGGCAGCTTAACCTGCAGGGTCAACCTTACAGCACGGCAGCTTCAGAACTACCTGCTCAGCATAAAGTGGGGGCTGAGAAGCAGAGCCAGCAACATGGTTTCACCTGCAGCTGCATATAAGCATTCACAGCGATCCTGAACGCAACTCAGTGGTGTTTGGTTTAGTCTTCATGTTTGCAGGTCTGCAGTATGAAGGGAACACCAACCAGCTGTGCTGCATTCATTGCTTTATTTCAGCTAGCGGACCGCGTGGCTCTATCAGACCGTGTTACTGAATACAGGGTAGTAATTAGCCTACAGCACTCCAGTGACAAGTAAGCTGCTTACTGGCCAGCTGGAGATTAACTGGAAAGTCCCCACTTCCCAGGGGTCCACAAACAGACACAGCACATGCACACACGCACCGAGCCAGTCATGTGGGGCTTAACAAGGCAGGCGCAATCTGCCAGCTCATTACCCTGAAATACTATCAGTGGTTAGTTCGGGGGTCTGCAACCTGCGACCCTTTTGGCCCTTTACAGCGGCTCCTTTGCTTTGATAAAAAAATAAGAACACAAGAAAAAAAACACATGATGAGATTTTATGTTTTGGACAAAATTGACATTAACTCTACAAATGGCTGCAAATATTTCTTCCTTCTGACTCTTTACTCCGTTCAAAATGTTGTTTTCTCATAATAATATACCTTATCTATGGAAATGAGACACATACAGTAAGATGTTAGTGTCGGCAGCTGTGAGGGCCGGTGGTCCGGTTCTTCATCCAACCTCTGACATGGATGCAAAAGGTATTTATAGAGCAGGAAAACCAGTCAGGGCAGCAGGCGGTTATTTCCTCCAGTCATTCTTTTCATGGTTTGATATGAAATGAGAACAACTGGAAACTAAAGTCTGCATAGATGAACTGAGCAAAGAATGAAGAGAAAGAATGTTAGATGTAGAGAAGATGACGGGAAGAGGAGGATACCCAGGAAGTCAGCAGAGAGCTATGGAGGGAATGAAAAGTATGCAGCTTCAAATCAGACGCTGTTATGTAAGACCAGCAAACTAAGACTTATGGGGGGAGGCGTTCAAAAAATCTTTCCAAAATAAGAAAAGTAGAAAGAAAACAACTTTATTGATCTCACATTTCAGAAATTTACCTCAGTATTTAACTCCTCCTCTGGGGGAGCAGTGGGCTGGCATTGTGCAGCACCCGGCCAGCAGTGTGGCGTTAAGGGTCTTGCTCAGGGACCCAGAGTGGAGGCTGTGGGGTTGAACTTAGAACCTTAGGAGAGTACATCCAGCTAGTGACGGTCAGAGAAACAGGACTACACTGGAAAACAGGCCGATCTCGAGCATCTATAAAAAAAGGTGTTGATGGCAGCAGTGTGAGCGGCCATCTGCTGAGGCCGACTGGGGTTCAAGGAGACAGAAGCAGACATAGAAAAAGAAGCATAGATACAAAAGGCAACTGTCAAGCAGCTCCACAGGCGGTCCCGTCCAGGAAACACACAGCCAGGCAGAAGAGCTCCGAGCCAGCTCCCATGTCAGAGGATGAAGAGAGCACATGCAGTTAGTCACAGTCAGAGAAACAGGACTACACTGAAAAACAGGCCAAGCTCCAACATCTATAAACAAAGGTGTTGATGGCAGCAGCACAGCTGATATTTCTCTCCAGGATGGAGTCATAGCCAAACAGGAACAGACCAGATGAAGCTACTATGAGAAAAAGCAGAGAGAGCAGAACGTTAGAGATTGAACTAACAGATTCTGCAGAGTGGGAGAATAGAGATAGAATGAAGCAGAATGATGAAAAAGGGGTCCCTATGTCCTCCAGTAGTCTAAGTCTATAGCAGCATAACTATAGAGATAGCTCAGGATAACCTGAGCCACTCTAACTATAAGCTTTATCAAAAAGGAAAGTTTTAAGCCTAGTCTTAAAAGTAGACAGGGTGTCTGCCTCACGGACTAAAACTGGTAGTTGGTTCCACAGGAGAGGAGCCTGATAACTAAAAGATCTGCCTCCCATTCTACTTTTAGAAATTCTAGGAACCACTAGTAAACCTGCAGATTGAGAGCGAAGTGCTCTGTTAGGAACATAAGGAACAATCAGATCTCTGATATAAGATGGAGCTTGGCCATTTAAGGCTTTAAATGTGAGAAGGAGGATTTTAAATTCTATTCTGGATTTAACAGGAAGCCAATGAAGAGAAGCCAGGATAAGAGAGATATGATCTCTCTTTTTCATTTTCATCAGAACTCTGGCTGCAGCATTTTGGATCAGCTTAAGGCTTTTAACTACAGTTAATGGACTTCCTGATAGTAAAGAATTACAATAGTCCAGCCTTGAAGTAACGTGATGATGATGAAGAAATGTGATGAGTTTCCCCTTCTAGACATATCCTCAATGCTGGTAGCTGCTTCTCCTCCTCCAACATCTGGTCCTCCATTAGTGCCGTTATTTAAAAATGCAAACATTTCAATGTCTTAAAGGGATAGTTTCATAGTTTAAATATTTTATTGACACTGGCAGTTTCCTTGTTGTAAAAGCTGATGTTAGGAGTTTGAAGCCTGCCTGTTTGAAGTACCAGCCGGTAACCTTTAACATCCAGACTTTGACAGAGCCATGGTTTGATGGTCCTGTTATCTGCAGGCTTCAGCAGTCAGCAACGACTTGTCAGCAGCTTCTAAGTCCTGAAGCGAGTCATCAGAGAGAGTCTGTTCCTCTGCTGCTCCGGACCTCATGGTTAGAAATTAATCCAGAGGGCTTAAAATATGCTGATTGGATCAGATTGTCGCTCCTGCTAACCTTAAACAGGAGAACTTTACAAAGGAATACGATCAATTTCTGCAGAAGTAAAAGGTCATGCTGGTGGAGTAGTAATGGCATCATATCTAAAGAGAAAACAAGAGGAGCAGCAAAGTGTTTACATCTAAACTGTAACTGTTTATAGGTTATGGGAGTCGTTTGCTTCCTTTGTTGCATTGTAGGTTTCTAGCTTTCAAAAACCTACAATGCAGCAATTGAGTTAATCCCTTCCCGCCATCATCGGTGCTCCAGCCTCTGTGCAGCAGAGCAGAGAACCTCACCTATTCAGCCAGGCCAACAATTCCCTTTAATGACCCCCCTTTCAGAGACATAGACAGGTATGGGGCATTGCAGGCTAACAAAAGAAGCCAAACGACCCCAATTCCAAAGGGGTGGACCCGTTCATCCATTTCTATTTTCATGTTTTCTAAACTTTGTTGGGCTACTGTATAAAGCCTGGAACTCAACGCTATTTCTGACATTTTGAATTGAAAAACCTTCCTGGATGGAAGAGAAATGTCTTCAATATTGGAAACAAAGTACAGCGGATTGTTTTCTATTTTCTTTTTTTGGAATGTTAGGGTCAGTGTTAAAAATGAATCGAAATCGGTCCTTCAGTGAGTCATTCAACTTTCACGATTAAGGTTCATGACATTTTGTCCCCAAGTGAGGATTTTTCTCTGGTGCTCACCTGCTTTTGCTGCTAACATTTAGGTTTGGGACTAAGATGTGAATTGAGTTAAAGGTTAGGGTAGGGTAGGGTTATGGTTAGGAACGTAGAGGTAGGGTTAGGCGAAGAACTCTCCCTTGATGACTCTCCCTACCCTGTCAAATGACTAAAGAAGTTTCAGAGAGCCAAAGACGATGTGTTGGCCCTTTGGTCCATTCTTCCGTTTCCATAGCTGAGCCAGGTGTGTGATTTATCAAGAAGACTGGAATGGATCTTAAATTAAAACAGTGTTTTCTAAGGTTCACTAAGGTCCATTAGGTAACCGTTTGTATATAGGTTCTGTTTAAGGGAAAGGCCTCGATTATTGGATAAGCTCCTAGGGTGGATTAAGTTATTGATATAGGTCATATTAAAGTCGTAGTAAAGTGGCTGTTCCAACCGTTGCATTTCTGAATTCTCCCGAGTGGCGCCCGACTTTACATGAGGGAATAAAGTGAATGTGATTGGTCGATTATCAAGGGGGCGGGGTTGTTGTGGCGGAAGGTTAGCAAGCAAGTCAATCTCCTCCGTCATCCATTTTTTAATTAGAGGAGGAAAGCGGGGACGAAGATGTTGGGGAAGAGGACGCCAGGGCGGCAGAAGCTTGGTTTGGTGTAGAAGGCTTCCAGCCGTACATGTTTGAGCCCTTGCCTCGTAACACTGCCAGTTCTGTTAGCTCTACGCCTGCTGAAGACACAGACGTACATCCCTGTGAACACTGGGACGGAACTCAATGGGAAAGGAAATTATCTTTATTTCTTATTTCAACCATTGCGTATATTAGCTGCGACATATGAATCAAGATGCTATGACCGAACATTTGATTGACAGATGACCGTTGATATATGATTGGCCGAATTTAGGTGTTCAGGCTGACGTATAACTAACTGGCCTGCAGGAGATAACGGAGAAAAAACTGATTTTAAGACAGGATGTTTTTTTTTTTATAGAAATTTTCTAATTTTTGGGACAATACGATCTGATAAAAAGTACATTTATATACAAGTTTAAGCCAGAATGATTTGACATTTAAATATGACTTCCCTACGACCTTAAGGATAATAAGCTTAGGTTTAAGGAAGTTATTAAATATTAGGTTTAACAAGAAGTGCAGTGACCTTTGGGTTGGGGATAAAACATCATGGCAATATTATGCATATTACACTAAGTTTAGGCAAGAACGTACAGCTTATGGGTTAGGTTCAAAAATGTAAAAAGCTCACTACAGAAGTGTGTTTGCTCATTAAAGGCCAAGGTTTTGTTTTAAAATTATAAACAAAAGGTAGAAATATAGTGGAATGTGTCCTTTTATTGAAAACAATATGTCCAGTAGAGAGAGGGAGGGACAGGAAAAATGGTGATGTCAGCAGGGAAGAAGAGAAGGGAGGACTGCCTTGCTTTTTCCTGTTTCCAGCCCCCTCCTCCCGCCTCCTCCTCTCACCAGCGAGAGAGAAAGGAGATCAGTAGGAGAAGCAGACGGATTATCAACTAGGACTGAGCCCATGGGACAAGATAAAATGAAAAATAAGCTGGGATTGACTGCAGCAAAGTGAGGAAAATACACTTGTTTGCTGACCAACACTGAATGGACAACAGATGCCAAAACCAGTGAAGAAGAAACAGGGAAAGGAAAGTGATTCAGGAAGAGGCATCAGGAGCGTGCGAGCAGAGAGGAGCCAACGCTTGAGTCTGGAAACAGGTGGAGACGTTACAGAGAGACAACGGCTCCAAGCATCACCGCTACCATGTACAACGGATATGGAGGTATGAAAGCTTCACTGCAATCACGGCTTGAGCTTCTTAAAGTCAGTAACTCCTGGAGGAAAGTTAAAGTTCCCAGGCAATTAGAGACGACAGCAATGTTTTCTTCTCACACGTTTGGAGGGCGTGTTGATAAATCTGTTGACCCGGCGGTCTGGTTACAGAATGACCATCATAGCTCCCAGTCTGTCTCTGACTCTGATTGATGGAGTATTCCGGCCTGATTAACAATGACGATCCAGAAATATTTAGAGTTCATTGAGGAGGTTGTGTTCCTGTGCAGAGATCAGTGTCCAAACTTCCCACAGCAGCACAGACGAGGCACCGGACACAACGTTGCGTCCTTTTTCGGTTTAATCACAAGTCCGTCTATTTTGATGTCAGAAAACCAGAGTCAGCCCCGTTCTCACTGTTCAGGAAGGAGCATACACGCTATTAGAGACTGTCTTTGTTATAAACCCTGGTTATTAGACATTGACACACAAAGTCATTTGATTATTGTTAAGAAGCTTAGATGTTCTCCACCAGTTTTGGTGCTGGTTTAACGCTGGGAATCAGGTGGTACCAGGAAGGACTTAGTGACAGCAGCGTAACATCAGGACGGACTGTCAGGCAGCTCCATTGCTGGGGTCACCTATCAGTCCAACGGGGTGATCAAAAGCTCCAATTTAATTATCTCACCTTTACCAACCAAAAATAAATACTTTAAATAATAATTATCTATAAATGTTGAATGTTTGAATTTCCCCATTAATGAAAACATATAGAGGATAAAAAGTTTATTTTTTAATTCAAGTATTCGTTTATTAATTTTATTTCAAAACATGTTTATTTGTCTTATTTTAGGATTAGATTCATCTTTTAATTTTGAATAAATCAACTCTCCGCACCTAGCTACCAAAACTCAACTCAGTTTTTTTTTTTTTAAGTTTAATTTTTATTTTAGCCGTATTTAAGAGCTTTAGCTTATTTTTGAATCTTCATGTGGATTTTAAATTCAAAACTGTAATAATCTGAAAGTTACCCAATCTGTTTGTTTTAGATTTACAGTAGCAGCCTTTCAAAATTTCCCCACTTTCTATGATCCTTGGTTGGTCCTTGGCTGGGCCTTGGCTGGGCCTTTGCTGGTCCTTGGCTGGGCCTTTGCTGGTCTTTGGCTAGTCCTTGGCTGGTTTATTGGTTGGTCTTTGGCTGGGCCTTGGCTGGTCCTTTGCTAGTCCTTGGCTGGTCCTTTGCTAGTCCTAGCTGGTCCTTTGTTAGTCCTTGGCTGGTCCGTTGTTAGTCCTTGGATGGTCCTTGGTTGGTCCTTGGCTGGGCCTTGGCTGGTCCTTGGCTGGTCCTTTGCTAGTCCTAGCTGGTCCTTTGTTAGTCCTTGGCTGGTCCGTTGTTAGTCCTTGGATGGTCCTTGGTTGGTCCTTGGCTGGGCCTTGGCTGGTCCTTGGCTGGTCTTTGGCTGGGCTTTGGCTGGGCCTTGGCTGGTCCTTGGCTGGTCTTTGGTTGGTCTTTGGCTGGTCCTTTGCTAGTACTTGGCTGGTCCTTTGCTAGTCGTTGGCTGGTCCTTGGTTAGTCTTTGGCTGGGCCTTTGTTGTGCCTTGGCTGGTCCTTTGTCAGTCCTTGGATGGTCCTTGGTTGGTCTTTGGCTGGGCCTTGGCTGGTCCTTGGCTGGGCTTTGGCTGGCCTTTGGCTGGGCCTTGGCTGGTCCTTGGCTGGTCCTTGGCTGGTCCTTGGCTGGACCTTGGCTGGTCCTTGGTTAGTCTTTGGCTGGGCCTTTGCTGTGCCTTGGCTGGTCCTTTGTCAGTCCTTGGATGGTCCTTGGTTGGTCTTTGGCTGGGCCTTGGCTGGTCCTTGGCTGGGCTTTGGCTGGCCTTTGGCTGGTCCTTGGCTGGTCCTTGGCTGGGCCTTGGATGGTCCTTGGTTAGTCTTTGGCTGGGCCTTTGCTGTGCCTTGGCTTGTCCTGGGCTGGTCTTTGGCTGGTATTTGGCTGGTCTTTTACTGGTCCTTGGCAGTCCTTGGTTGGTCTTTGGTTGGTATTTGGCTAGTCTTTGGTTGGTCTTTGGCTGTTCCCCTACAATTCTCTTTTAAACATCTAAAATATTCTTTCCGTCATGATTTGTGGACATTAAGATCTAAAGAGATGCGCCATCTCCTGGTCAGACCCTGTAATTCCAGGAAAAGGTGGAGTCAGAGAAAAAAAATTGGCAGAGGGGGTCACACCAGTGGCTGGCAGTTGGAGGGGATTTTGCTGGGAGTTGCAGGGGGCTGCCATTCGGCTGGCGTTTTACTGGGAGGGGCCATTTTGAATGGCTGTTACTGTATATTCTCCCTCCTTAGCACCTTAGACCCACGTTTCCCTTCACAGCTGTCTCTGATCCTTCACGGAATTGATGATGAAGGTTGATGGAAACATTTCTTTCAGCTTCAGTCTCTCCTTCCAGATGTTCTCCAGCTGTCACTCTCACCTCCAGCAGGTCTTCCTTCACATATTTCCCTCCTCTTTAGTTTGTGATGGCTAGTTTTCCTGTGGGGGCCTCATGGCACTGCCTGGATCCGGGCTCCTGGCTTACGTAGGAGACCCCCATCCTTGTAGCTCCTCTTTAGCCTTAGTTTGGACTGCTATAATAATAATAATAATAATAATAATAATAATAATAAGCTGATCTTCTCTCTGTTATAACTGCTGCTTTGTCATCATAGAGCTTTTCTTTCTACATGATTTTTCTCCTTGAGCCTGATGCTAACAGACCTTCCTATCCTGCCCAGCTACCCTTTCCTAGGAGGAAATCAAATTGATTCTTTATTTTTTTTTTTTACATATTTTGATTGCATTTGTCTGCTTAAATCAATATTTGTTAGGGTTGAAAATGATTTCTATGGCAATAAAGTAGACAAGCAAAGGTCACTCTGATGTCTTTCATTATCAGAAACTAACAGATAGTTCCTGTAAACGTTCAGCAAAGCTGCCAGGTTTCTCTCCGTGACTCAGTTTAGCCAGAAACAGAAGTGAACTAATCTTTTTCCGGGCCCTGCCCCTTACAGGATGTTACCCCCCCTGGGATTTCCTCCTCCTAGGGGCAGGGACGCGTCACAGGGAAGGTTCCTGATGTGTTTTGGACTCTAGGGTCGAACTTTTAATGAAACATTTCAGACTTCTTCAAGGTTTTCAGTTTTATTTTCTCAGGTTTAAAACGGTCAGCTGTTTAAACTTAAAAGAGGAAACAAGTTCTCCTCCCAAAAGCATTTGGTAAAGTCTGGGTCTCCTTTGCCTTCATAGATACCAGAAGCTGATGTTCTGCTGCTCTCTGGCTGCCATGCTGAACATCCGTCAGTCTTAGATGGTTCCTCTATGAGGAGCCACCTGAACACCTGGTGCAAAAGTGTAAATTATGCTCACTCTTCATTTAGGGTGATGGCCTAAACCGCAGGCTCAGAGTGGAAGTCAGGATGAGATGAAGTAGACCAATTAAGGTTATTTTAAGGTCCTTTCTAACCTGTATTTTGATAAAAGTAGGGCTCAACGATTTAGCCAAAAATCAAAGTTGTGATCATTTTTAACCAACGTTGCGATTTTATTGCGATTTTCCTTTTCAGTAAGCACAAGCATGTGCAAGTTTTACTGTAGCGTTTCAGTTTTTCCATGACCTTGAAAGCCTGCCGGTCCAAAATCCAGAGCTGCAGAACTTTACTGCAACATCTGCATGAAAAAGTTCTTACTTCTACTATAATGCAGGTGCTGTAGCTGCAACTCTCTGTTCCCCTCTGTGAGAGAGCAAAGCCACTTTAAAGGAAAATTATTCAGAAAACAAACCTTTGAAAATACTTTAAATATGAAATTATTCCATACTGTTTAATAAATTATCAGTTTTTTTAATTCAGAGTAATTCTCATCTGAATGTGCTTTACTGGAGGCATTCATGTTTGTCAAAGAACACTACTGCCACCTACTGGTTTGTGACGTCACGGTGCGGCATCGGCTGTTGATCAAGTCCCAGTGCTGTATCTGGTGTTTGTCACAACGCGCTATTATCCAAGTCATCTTGAAAACATTCTTCTTCCAAATGTTGGCTACATATTACGTGTTTTTTCTCTGGCCAGAAGTGCGATGGCAAGCAACTTGAAATAAAAATGACATTGAATTAAAAACACTGATCATTTATTGAACAGTATGTGATAATTTCATATTTAAAGTACTTTTAGAAGTTTGAATTCTGAATATGAGCGACTTTTCCCTTAAAAGTGATGAATAAACTCTAATTAGTAGAAATGATTGGACAGGTCTTCAGCACAGCGCTGTGTTTGCCGTGTTTGGCTGGATTTTTAGGGTGACACATAGATGATGCGGCAGTGCCCTGAGTGGATGTGGCATATGGAAGTGGGTGGGTTGTTAAAAGTGGGTGGGTGTGTGTAATGAGAGTGAGGAAATGTCCACCAGAAAGGTCTGGAAGAGAAGGGTCAGAGCATCCAAACAAAAGGCATGTGGTCACATGCTCCATCAGCACAGAGGCCTTCCGATGGCGAAGCGGGGCTCAGCTCCACTGCTGCTGTGGGAGTGGGACTGGTGGTTGGCTAGAGAGGGGAGAGAACCGCATGGATCAGGTAGGAGGCTCTGTGGCTCCTTATACCCTCAGTCTGAGGGCATTTATCTCCATTTTCAGTTAGCTTTATTTCTGTTTGGCTTAAGCAAGCTAAACAGGACTAATGTAGCTCCGGTGGGAAGCAATAGATGGAAAGATTCATGTCTAAAGTACCATGAACTTCTCTGAGGTTTGATTTAGATGGATGGCTTACGCCATTATAGACCATTATGTTTATCCTAGAGAAAAAAGAAACAGCTCTCCTGATTGGCCTAAGAGCCTGCTAAGAACATCATGCATTTATTTACCCCAGAATCCTTTCAGTGAGCAGTCACTTTGGTATGAGAAACATAATTTCTTAAAAAACGTCATGTTGTCTTTAGAGACAACAGTGAGTGTTTAGATATCCAGTGTTTAGATATCCAGGGCTGC